CGATGGTCGAAATTGTTGATTATGAGCTTGTCATATGAATAAATGTCTAAATAGTGATTTATGTAACATTTGAAGCCATAAAAAAGACATGTAATTGGCTGATTTCGCTCTTACATGATGCATCTTCAAATTGATGTATTTGTTACTCAAAACGTTTCCAGTTTGAGGGCTTTTAAAATAACTATTTTAAATACACATCCTTTGATGTTAAATCATTTTTTTAATATCTGTGCATTAAAATCTATTACTTTGAAATATGTATATAACAAATAGGTTTTGTCAAAACTGCAGTTTTGTCCTATAGCCATTAAAGGAACACCAGTAGATAGATCGATGTGTATTCTTGGCCGTAAGGAGAGAAATTTAAGTTCTTAAAACTACTTTGAGATCGCAATATAGACTTTGAATGAAAAAGAAATAACAGAAGAACCCACACCCACTGGACACAACACCTTTACAATAATATATCAGTACAAGGATAGGGAAATGGAATTTGTTTAGTTAACTAAGAATTAATAGCTTTCTACGTGGTCCTTTAAGAATATTGATTCTTTAATTCGGATCACCCCTTTGATGTATTCCACTGTGAAAAAAATGTGCAATTAAAACTGTCGACGCACTAGAGATTACTTATCAAATACCAGATTCTTTTGGATCTAAATGGGAAGTTTTATGGGTTATACATGTGACCTGCGGTAGTTATGCTTTGTTAACCCTGTTCAAAAGACAAATACAGTTTGACAAAACACTCGCTTATTGCTTTAAGTATTTGTCTTAAAACGAAAAATCTCCTAGTTTCAATATTTGTATTATCGAGTTTCTCCACATGCTATCACGTTAATGCATTATATTAGATGGCAACTGAATAGATATTGTAGTCATTATCAAATGTAATAATATCGATGGCGAGATTTGTGCTACATATATGAATACTTAGATAATCCTATAGATGTTGGTATATGGTCGTTGTAAAGATTTCAAGGGATTTTTTACCTTATGTAAATAAGATTGGTAGAATTTTTGCTCTTTAAATTAATAGCATTATATTAACTATGGCTTTGACTAATTATTGGTTTCAAATTATAGAGAAGTCATATTTCACGCACTTAAATTGAATGAGTCATAGGTTGACACATTAAAAGATTTATAAAACCAAAACATAGCTGGTTCTGTGTGAAAACAAAATATCACCAGATCACTTATGGAAGGAAAATTATCATTGCATCATTTAGCTTTGACCAATTAGATAATTGAAAGCCGAAACCCAAGGGTAGAAAACCATCAGCGCTCTGGATGATAAGTAGACAGCCGCTAAATTCTTAGAGAGAGATACGTTAAGAGATACCGTTGAGGTTGAAGAGATACCATCTGGATTCAGAATGCCCATTAGGTCGTAGGAGAGGCATATGATGTAGTGTGTTCCGTCAGTAAACTCATTTGCGAATTAGTGGGTGGAGAGAAAGACATATTAATTTTAAGTATTGTAATGTGACCTATGCTTGTAACCTATGTATCCAGTGCTTGATATAAAATGTTAAAACAAACTGCTGCATTGTTGTAACTGGTAGACAAACGTCCTAGCAGGGGAGTTTAAGATGAAAATACACAACGTGAAAAGGTGTCCTAGCCATAAGAAGAGAAATAAAAATATAACCAAAGACAATACTAGACGATCACAAGGATATTAAAATGTGTTGCAGAGAGAGAGAGAGAGAGAGAGAGAGAGTATGCGTCACACGTCGGCTGTGGGAAGTTTTTATGCGTCTGGGCTTTCCACATCTAACCAGCTACACATAGCACTGCACAGTACTAGAAAACTTATATTATTTAAATTTGTTGAGAATGTGGTATTACCGGTTGAATGACGTACAGTGGATGGATATTTTTTTAAATATCGTCAGACAAATGGTCTATAACTGTTTAGTATTTTTTGTCATTTAGCCCCCGAAATGAACCTACACACACAATGTTCGATTTTAATGACATTATGAATACATAGCCGTAGGTCTTCACTAGAAATCATGTCATTTTTTTTTTTTTAAAAATCCTAACATTAGAACCTATGGCTTGCTGTCTTAAAGAAATATGAAAAAAGGAGAAATTCTTGCAAGTTTTCTTTTTAAACAAAAACTTTTATTGTTGTGGCATTCCTTACTGTTCTGCTCCGACTGAGCTAATGAAGACGGGAATACGCCATGCATTGTGCTATGAGGGAAATTTTGCCCAGACAGCGGCGCTAAGGTCTACTTTATATCGAATTCCAACTGCCAAGGGATCTTTCACGTGCACGCCAATATGTACACGGGATCTCCGAACGACTATACAGCTGTCAGGCCCTCTACCCTGACAAGGGAAAACCACGCCGGAAAATCCCGATGAACTTCCACGGCCAATACCGGGCGCTAACCCGCGACATCCAGGCTAGAGAGCCAGCGTCTTACTCACTTCGCCACCGTGGATCCATTCATTACTGAACCGCCGAGTGTATTAATAGTAAGTGCAGGAAATAACCCAATTTTTTTTTTTAAATCTCATTTATCTGTACATTATTTTTCGATCGTGAACTTGAAAGTGAATGAGTTGAGTTTAATATATCGTCTACGTAATACCTTGAGACTAACACGATTTTATACCAAGGAATTGTAGGGATCGGGAATATAAATTCTCGAAGTTTATTCTCGGCTTAAACAGTAATTAGAACATGGGGTCTTCTAGGGTGAATCTAGACACCAGAGTGGAAAAACGCTGACCGTATGTATATAAGGGGATGCTTAACCAATTCAGCACATATCTCCGAGCCACATACGCCCACACCAGCGATCAAAACTACGATCGCATGCCAGAGGTGACCAGCCAACTAGAGCTCGAAATGCCACGTGTTAAATAAAGATATTTCACACAATTCAACAAACGGCGTTGGGATAGCCCAGTGGTCTAGAGTGTCGCGCTTCGAGCTCTAGCTTGCTGGTCACCTCTGGCTTGCGGTCGTGGTTTCGATCTCTGGTGTGGCCGTATTGGCTCGGAGATAGGGCGCCTTCTCAACCTCGTGAGTTTACTACGGGTACTCGGGGGAAGCGGACGTTAAAAGATAATAAAAGACGAACAACAATTCAGCAACGTCATCTACAGCGATTTTAATTGATTTTGCGCTCGATTCAAATAATGAAAACCCAACTGGATACTCGGTACAATACTTTGAAAACAGAGCCGAGAATGTTCCTTTACAATGGTTCATAAAATCATAGCAAATTGGATCTTCTGTCAATGTTTGAACAAAGAACATGAAAAAATGTTATTTGCACTACATTCATAGATCGAACAATTAATATACTTTCTACATCAAGACCTTAGCTTACATAAAGTCTACATGCCCACAGAAAAAAAAATCCGAGCATACAGCAAAGAAAGGTCTTAATCAATCTATATATTTCCACAAAGAACGGACATTGAAAAAAAAAAAATCTTAATCAATTTGAAGATAAATTAATTTTTTTTACAAGGAGCCAATCTTTGAGTTATACACTCTCTTTATATGAATAACCTTTGATTAAACTAAGCATGCCCTTTCCGTCAAGTGATGTCTGAGAGGAAAATTTGAAAAGAAAATATTTCTCTTTCAGAATATTATAGGTCGAAGAGAATATGGGTTAACAATATGAAAAAAAACCAAAAAAAAAAAACCAAAACAAAAAACAAGAAACAATGACAGATAAGCTATTGGACTGTTTTGTACCATTTAATTTGTCGCAATATTTTCTCAGTCATGTCTGTGATGCAGGACGGAGGGGCCGGCAAAGACAGTGTCTAGCCATTCGGATGGGACGAAGTCCGGTATACACATTGGCGTGCACTTAAAAGGACACACAGTTGGAATTCGAAGCAAGAATAGGTTGCAGTACCGTAGGGCAAATTTTCCTTCCTGGCACACTGTATGACCCATGCCCGTCTTCATTGACTAGTCAGTGTAGACGTTGTAACACTAATAAACAGAATGGTCTAGTATATATTTTGCATTCATGACACGTCATAATAATTCAGGTACCTACCGATATAATTTTTTTGAGAATGGCGGGTGTATGGGTATGAAGGACGGGGGTACGTTTTGGAAAAAATAAAACGGGGACCCGCTTTGGGTCTGCTCCAGCTTGAGAGCTTCTCTTGCAAACAAGCCAAATAAAAAGCGTGACAAGCTAACAATATAAGCAGATACAGAGTTGATAGCGGCTTCTATTAAGTATTGTCGACATTTCAAAGCTCATATCACTCACACTACAACATCATGTATAAACCAATATATCATAAATAATCTGCGATACCTCTATTGTTGAGCAGACATTAAGTCATCAAGAGAAACGTAGTATATCTCACAAGTGGAATATAATTATTGCCACAAATAAGAAATTATCTGTATCAATTATTACTGTTCTGTTAAATTAGGATAATAGTTGCAACTCCACGCAAAAATCCTATTGTGGTTTTGGTTTTTAGCATTTAAATTACCTTTAACATTTGACGATAATCATATTGGTTGTCACCAGTAAGAAAATGCAGTCTAGAAAAATAATCTAATGAATAGAATTTTCAAGCTTTTTCTCCCTCGTGCGTGTTTAAAAATCGGTCTAGTAATTGGAGACAAGAAAGGATGAAGCGTGATAACTGCGGCTACATATTTTCTCTCCTATATAGCGAGAAAGGAGTGTTCAATGAAAATTTAACTCGAAGCCGATTGCATCACGTAATATTATTTTCATTAATACATTCACCGTCCTACTTTTTCTTTTTTAACCGCACATAAGTGAACTTGTCGCAGAAAAATTTAAATGTAAAAACATGTTGATGGCTGTTTGCAAAAGTTTTCTTTAAGCGGTAGGTTTTTTTTGCTTTTAAATTTTAAAAAGATAAAAATTCCCCAAACTTTTAAATTATTTTGTAAACTTAAGAAAGTTTCGAAAACAGTAAGTCTTAAAGTTTTATAATATAATTATATAAGCTACACTTACCTTTAGTGTTTAAGTTTGTTCTAAGTAAAGCAGTTTCCAAACAGTATTTATTCCAGTGACGCTCCCGTAGTTCAACTTCTAGTGCTTCTTCTATATAGAACCAAACAATAATATATGCATACAGATCGTTCAGATGGGCGGTGCCGATCTTACGTAAATTGGACGTTCACGCTAAGTTGAGTGGGTTTCCGATCGCTGATTAGTTCAATGCTTGTGATGTCACTGGAAATCACCGAAAGCGAGAGAGTTTTCTATGCGTGAGGAAAGAGAAGAACAAATTTTCATACTGCGATCGATTTATGTAGATGGATTACACTTCAGTAAATATAATAATACCCTTCACGTGTCCTGTCTACTTTATATCTTATATAGTTTACACGTAATACTTGTAAAAAACAACGCCGTTCTTCCACTTCCACTCATCCACGTGATGAAAACATAGCCAAGACAGCAAAGACCTTCGTCACCTCCTGGAACCGAAAACATCTAACCCACTTAACTGTTTAAAAGAGCGTTTCATTAAAAAGTTATTCCCAGCTAAAGTATTATTAAATTAGTGTGCTTTAAGAGGATGGGACAATCTTGATGTCACGCAAGTTGAGCTGATTGGAAAGTTGCGCTTGGCACTGGAACTAATCAAAGATTGGATTAATTCCTGTTTGTGCTGCATCAATAATTTATTGAATACATCTACAAATATGGCTCACTTAATGGACAGAGTACGTACTTATCACATCGTTATATGCTTTCATTCATTCATACAACCTGCCGTTATTGTAGTGTTTTTTAAAGGTTTTCAAGCTGCTGGACATGTATTGAATGACGTTTTAATAAAATTGTTTTGGCGTTAGTGATACATAACCATATGGCTAAATATCACAACCCCGTTCATATTGAAGGAGTTAGAAGTAGCAATTTGTACTGATATTTATATACCAAGATACCAATTTCGTCTTTCATTCTCCCACTTTAACTAGCACAATTCTTTACTTTAAAACTGATTATCTGTTTAAAACATATTTACGAGGCCCTTGTCCTTTAAGGAGTGATGTGCGTTTTTATAAGTGATCATAAATGCGTCGTCATATCCGGGTTTCGTATCAGCGGAGGTTTAAATATTCAGAATAAATTCCTCAGAATTTTCAACGCTGGTTTCCTTTCCTAGTGGTTTAAGACATATTGTCTGGCTAACAAAAAGCGTTTAGTTGTTCGCATGCGACGAAAACCGAGATTCTGTGTATAAAATTGGCAGCACGTTAAAGATCCTTGGCAGTTGGAAATCATGATATAAGTAGGCTGCAGCACCGTCTGCATTATCCCGCTTCGTGCAGGAAAGTAAGACGTTAAATTCCATTTCATCTCCCCCCCCCCCCCCATCAAGCGGGGTTCATTTGCTGTCAGCACCGCTAGCCTCCACCCATGATGACGTCATATGGTATTGCGTTATAAACAATACAACCAACTGTCAAGTCAAAATAAAAGTGAAACAATCAGCAATAAACACAGCGATATTCTTAGATCGTGACAAGGTAGCCTATAAATCATACCATGACTCAGTAAAACCAGTTATTGTGCGTGTGGGTGGGTGTGTGTGTGTGTGTGTGGGTGGGGGGGGGGGGCTGGCAAGGGACAATGTACAGTTGTTCGGATAAAACGAAAAACCCGAGTCCAGTGTACACATTAGCGTGCACTGTACCCGTAAAAGAACCCTGTGCAGAAGGAATTGGACACAAGGGTAGGCCGCAGTGCCGCAGTCCAAACAAAATTTTTTCCATCGTCATAACACACTGTAAGAAATGAAATGGGATTTAACATCCTACTGTTCTGATCCGAACTGGGCTAATGAAGATGGGCATATGTCATATGCTGTGCTATGAGGGAAGTTTTGCCCGGACAGCGGCACTACGACCTGCTCTTATATCCGTTTACTGCTTCTAGAGTTATGGTCCGTGTTTCACTTGTTGAACCTTGTGAACGCTCTAACAACAAAAGTTATCATCCAATCTGTATAAAATGTATTTGCATCATTTAAATTTGTGAAACGAAGTGGCCTGTTGAATTTCAGCAATTTCCATGAAGTACTTTTAGAGTTCCAGGCTTTGTTTCACTTTCTGAAACCCCGTGAATGCTGTAACGGCGTAAGTTATCATCTAATCTGTATGAAATTTATATACATTATTTCAATTAGTCAAGTGAAAAACCCTATTGGTCTGTATGACATTGCATCATTTAAATTCGTGAAACGAAGTAGCCTGTTGAATTTCAGCAGTTTCCATGAATTACTTCTAGAGTTCTAGGACTTGTTTCATTATGTAGAACCCTGTATGAAATTTATATGCATTATTTCAATTAGTCAAGTGAAAAAACCTTTTGATCTGTGTGAAATTGATATCAGTGTCTCGTAAATTCTCCCATTATCTATACAAAATAATAAAGATGCCACAACCATTGTCGACTGCGCGGACAATTTAGCTGTTGTTTGCATATGATTTGTTTCGTGGCTACCTATCTTTTTATTTGGCATAGACATTTTCTCTATATTCTGATGTGTATCTTTATCACATATTGATCTGAATAAAAGATAATCTAATGCTGGCAACACATACACACCAATAGCGCTTTCTTTTTCTCTAATGATTTCTAGAATTTTGTCTTAGTTCGATCCATCTTTTCCTGACACCAAGAAAGACTCAACAATTAAGTTTGGTGGAAATTATGTAGGCCAAGGATGCTGATTACACGATAATGATACATCTTTTACCCTTGTAAGTAAAACTCATCATTTAAACTGGTCGGGTATTAATTATAACCGATTTAATCTTTTTCAAATGGATTTTAAAATCTTTGGATTTTTTTTAAAAATCACGAAAGATTTATAATGCCAGTATGAGAATTTATCTTTGATAGAGAAGGATCTTCAATGTGTAAAACCCACACCAATTCTCGAGGTTTTCGTGTATCTACTTTTACAACTTAATTTAACAACTTGAAATGAAATGGTGTTTGACATCCTACTTTCTGCACCGACTGGGATAATGAAGACGAACATGCGCCATAATACAATGTGCTATGTTGGAAATATTGCCCGGACAACGACCACGACCTACTCTTAATTCGAATTCCATCTGGAAAAGGTTCTTTTCCGTGCACGCCAATGTGTACGCGGGACCTCGGTGATCGTCCCATCTGAACGACTAGAATCTGAAGGGGAAACCACACCGAGAAATTTCTCGGTCAACACTGGGGACGAACCCGTGACCTCCTGGTTAGCGAGCATGCGTCCTACCCACTGAGCCATAGCCGCTCCCTAAACAACCTGAGCTTATGCATGACATAAAACATCTAAATTGACATCAAACGTTATCAAATATATGCCACTACATTAAATGAATGAGTTTAATCGCATAACCTTTCAAAAAATTTAGTAGCATAAAATATCAGATTGCAAATTTCTATTTTAATTCTTTATTATTAACCCAAAATAATATTTCGACACTTTCCAAAATGAATTAAATGATTGTTTTTAAAACTATGCAAGTTTTTCTTTCATCATATGGTTAGATAATTGTATTTTCATTTCGATGTTTCATAATATTTATGGCACCATGGAGCACAATAGAAAAATTTATATGTTAAAGGGGTCGCACAGTGTGAATCTGGACAACATGGGAAATTTGTTTATCAATATTGTCTAATTAAATAGAATTGAATACACCAGTAATCGGAACTAATGATATTATTTGTTAAATATGATAAATTAATCGGCGGCTCTGTTGGAAGTGAAGTAATCTCCTAATATCGTCACCAACAACATATCCGAGTATCGATCAACTAATCGACTAATTAGAAAATCTGTCTATTATACACGATAAATACGACGCTTACTAATTCTTTGTAGTTTTATTATCGTTGTGTGGCTGGTATTGATAACAGAATTAAGAAGAGGATTAGATAAATAAAAAGTCATTTCGTTGATAAAAAAGGTTGAATGTCTGCTATAAGATAAAGATTAAGGAGTTGGGAGGATTTGTAAATTATTTCAGTGTTTCAATCCTCAAAATAAGATTATGTGCCCACGTTTTGTTCAGATGGCGGCGTAAATATATGTTTAAATCGTGAGGAGATCACCTGATACCATGGTTTATGGCATATGCTTCAGTTTATGGCAAATACGATGTCAAAATTAAGAATTGTCATTGGTAAACAATGGAAAAATATCATTGTTTTCGTCCTTTATTGTATATCGGCACACATAACGATTTACTTCCTATGTCTGTATTTAAAAGGCAGAATGGTTTGTATGTAAACAACTGTTGTTTCCCGGTTTTTAAGTGCAGCTTTTAATTGCTGATAACAAACGGCCATGTGTTTTTATTTTACTTATAAGGACCTATGTCATATAACCATTACAATCTTACAGATAGACCAGTATTGTATAATGTTATAATAGGTATAGTATGCACCGTAGCTCGATTGTTTTAGTAGCTTTGTTGTCTTTTTAAATAATTTTATTTAGAATTTTGTCTTTTCTTGTGTGTTACCATTAGTGAAGCCATTTTGGAATTCTCAAGATAGGACAGGACTTTGTTCTAATCAAAATAATATATTATACTTCTGCCTATCTCGGAAATTGATTTTAGAGATGCCTTGACTCTTCAATAATTACAACAGTGCACTTTCACAGGACACGTCGGTTTTTATTATTTTCCAAATCCATTTAATTTATAGTGACTGTCATTTCCTTTGTGTTTATATTTCACAAAAGCTTTTCATATGAATATAAAGAATTATCCTTGATATGGCGCAAATCTCTCCTGGACGAGAGTAAACTTTGTCCCTGGTGTATTGATGATGCAATTAGTTCATAATACCATTATAGATTGCCAACTTATTTCTGATAGATATTTTCCCTTAAATCTGTAATCGCGCACAGATATTGCATTCTTGCAATGTGTATAATGTTTGCATTTGATTTTCTATCTCAGGAAAAAGATTATAAAAGATCCGTTTTACTGCAAATACTGTTTCATATATGCCATAGATAATCTACTATTTATTTTCAGAATAGCAAAAATAAAACGATTTAAAAAAAAAAAAAAATATATATATAAAAAAAAAATTGAACTAAAGTCTAAATGGAAGCGAACTATTTTTCAGG